AGAAAGAAAGAAAGAAAGAAAAACCCAAATGAATGCATCATTGCTCACACAGAGGCATACTCTAGGATGTCAAGCATGGCTTGCTACATCTGAACATGTAACATATTGGAATATATTTTAAATGAAATCACAGAAAATAAAACTGGCTCATATAATCAAAGCATAGATTTGATTGAAGACATACATTAAATCCTGTGCTGAAATGATCACTGTTAGGTAAATGATGTATCAGTCAAAGAGAAATGAGTACATGAACCATTTTTCCTGTAGCCTAGCCTATGTGCTAGTCTCTGGTTGATCAATGACCGTGAAGCAAAGGTAATTTCAACTATGGCTGATGAATGAAAAAATGACAATACACTTGATTATCTATAGGAAAAGAATTTTCAAAGACATGGGTCCAAGTAGTTAAAATAACAGTTGCCTAGGTTAATATGTAATAAAACATGTTATCAGAGTGGGACTGGAAGCCATGATTCCAGAGGACCAAAGGGGAAGGATGCTGCTCATCTCCTGGCAGAGAGGTGAGGGACTTAATATGTAGAATATGGCCCTCATTTTTGGACATGGCGAAAATGAGAATTTGTTTAGTTTAGTTTGACTATGTGTTTTTGTTACAAGAGTTTTGTTGGGGGGGAGATGGGAGAGAGAGAAAATAAATGCTTATTAATTGAAAAAATGAAATTGAATTTTAAAAAAGAAATGGGAGAAGGATAGGGAAAAGGGATGAGCTAAGGGGACTCATTTGACTCAAGCTTCTAACAAGATTAATCCTGAGCTGCTTTATGGAATCTGGAATCTGTCTGCCAACCAGCCTAACTGATCCAGGTCTAGTTCCAAGCATATATGTTCCCTCTGTTGCCTGGCTGAGTATACACAGTAGCATTTTACACCAGCTGAAGTCTGTTAATTGTGTGTGCAGGGACTGGGAGGCCAGCAAAAAGGGCATAATAGTCCATGTGGGATGAAACAAAAGCTTGAAAAAGGACCTCCACATCAGCAAGAGAGAGAGGTGAGGGTGTACTCTGGATCCATTTCTACAGTAGTTAAAAGCATATTTCACCATATGGAGACACATGGTTCTAAAGTTAGGCCAGTATAAATTTATTCCATCCATCAACTTTTTTTTAAGCTGTTTTTAAGGCATTTTGCATCTTCATTCATCTGACAGCTGGAATAGAATTACTGTCTCAAACAGGCATACACAGAATTCAAATGACATTTCTGGTACCTGAAACAATAGTGTAAGAGGATAGTGGCACAAGTAACTGCTTTACTTTTATACAGACTTTCACAATGTAACAAGGTCACATTTATTTTTTTTCCAAAAGCAGTGCAGACTACAATAAACCAAATTGCCCTGCATTCCCAAGAAATCACTTTAATTTTTTAAAAAATTTTTAACCCTGTGCCCCTGTCTTCATGAATCTTTTTAAAAAAAATTATTATATCATGTTCTTATAAAAAAATTTCACGTTGAAAAAAATTACGTATAACAAATTAGAAAGATTTGTTTCACCTTTGTGATCCTATGTGTTATTAAGAAGTTGCAGTTAGATAAATATAAAAAGCAGATCTCCTTTCCATTAACCTTTTCCATATATAATATTGATTTTTTTTTAGAAAATCCACTTTTTCACTGGCCTTTCCCATTTCTTAAAGATATGATTTAAATGGTTAAAGCAAAAGTTAAATAATTAGAGTTTTAAAAATATTCTATATACATGTCAACCAAGTTGCAGATTTAAGCTTCTTGCTTTCCTGTCCTACTGAAAACAGATTTTGGATTAAACTGCTAGGGGATCTACCTTCTTTATATCTTTATAAGGAAGGAACCTCAGAAATATTAGAAATACTTTTTGCTTTTTAACCAGGGAGAATAGAAGGCAAGAGCAACAGTTATCCCGCACCTCAAAAATGTGTAGCACCCAGCTACTGTGGGATTTTTTCTAGTTTCTTTGACTCTTACTAAAAAATTTAGTATTGTTTAGATTATTAAAAAGTTCTGGGAATTTATCAACCATGTTATCTATTTACTTGGATTTTTTTATATCTTAGCTCATTGCTGTACATTAGTACAAAATTCCTATACACAGCTCATGTTTGTAGCTCCAAAGCATATGAAAACCGTAATTACTCTTTCAGACTTTAAGATGAAATGGATTCCAAACCTTCTCATATTACCTGTCCCTGTTATTTACTGACATGATTTTTAGCATTGCAATTGAGAACAGAATCATACGTGTAATTTTACAAGATGATAGGAAACAGAATCTTACCTGTCCATATAAATGTGGTCATTTAAAATATATGCTAAAAATACTGATTTCCCTTTTTTTTTCCAAATCAGCACTTAGTGAATAAACAATGGTTCCCACATTTCTCAAACACTATTAGAGTTTCTTCCCTTTGTAATAATCCCCAATGACTCTGAATAGCCGATTTCTACACGTACATAGGATTTCATCACTCTGCATTAAAGTATTTAATTTGCTAAAAAAAATGATTTTTAAATTACCTGATTTTAAAGCTGGAAAAGACTTCAAGTGTCATTTAATCTATCATTCTCATTTTACCGGGGAGGAAACTGAGGGCCAGAGAATGAAGTGACTTACTAACAGTTATATAGCAAATTAGTGGCAGGGATAAGACTGGAATCCAGACCTCCTGATCTCTGGTCAGGGATCCTTTCCAATAAAATGGGAAGTATTTTGGCAAAAAGTTTTTTTAACCCATTTCCCTCATCCCCTTCTCCCTCTGAAATGGACACTAAGGATTTAAAGCTTTTCTTCCAAAGTATGCCCCAAACATTTTCTCTACCATACCACAGCACAGAGTGTGCTCTCAAAAGAATGAGGTCAAGTATGCCAAGTGGTATTCCCATACTCTTAGCTCTCATCATTAACCCATTTCCATGATCAGTATCCAAAGTGATACAGCCCTGCCCCAGACAAAATCTTTCCCAAACTAACGGGACATTCTTATTATCTCTGGTTCCAAACTGTGGCAGAATACCTAGGGCAAAATCTCCATCTTCTTTTGCCTAGATACAACACCTAGGAGAGAGAATAAAAATCTTGACTAAAGGGGGCCCCAAAGAAATTCAGCCTGACTTTGTCAAGGACATTTCCAGATCAGATGCTAACATTTAAGCAGGAACTTTCAGGGCTATGCCTGCTGTTTGAACCCATTCTAGGATAACCTCCAGGATAGGACTCAACACCAAATTCCCAAGATTACTTTAGGCTTTAACCATAACAATGGACAGTCACAGAAGTGATTTGAGAACACTTTCTTAGACCAAATTCAATTCAAAACAGATTATCATATGCCCTCCCAGGAAGTATGGACATGACTGATTCATTTTTATAATCTAAAAGTACCTAGAGAAATGGAGAAGGATGTGATGGACATGTGCATTTTTTAAATGTGCCTCTAAGAACCAAAATAGGAACCAGTACATAGACCATTCAGTTCAATTCAACTCAATAAAGAGCTATTTAGTGTCCATTGGAGAAACAAATATAAGAGAAAGCAACAACCACAATGGGACAGTCCCTACCTTCAAGGAGAATACCTTCTCCTGAGGGAATATGACTTCAAAACACAGAAATATAACCCACTCTGAAGAAAGGGAAAGCTCTAAGAAGTAGGGGTAAAAGGAAAGGCTTCCCCTAGGATATTGTACCAGAACTGAATTTTAAGGAACTGAATATTATGTGTAAATAATAATCTCATATTTATATAAGCACTTTGAAGGTTACAAAATTCTTTGAAGCATTTTCCTTCCCTACCTCTGTCGTATTATTTGAAGTATTATTAAGTATTATTTGAAGAAACATGAGCTCAGGTAAGGGAATAACTTACACATGGTCACCCAGTCCTGACTCCAAGATCAGTGCTTGTTTTATTACTTCTTGCTGTCCCCTTATCCTTATACCTATGATATTTACCTAAGTGATCTCTGCAGACAAAGTAACAAATGACTGCCTCTAAGTGTAAGGATAAGAAAAGCATCAGCCACGCTCACGGCCAGGGAAGCTGGGGCTCCACCTTCATCAAAAATTGATTTCAATTGTGTTTTGAATAGTCTAATCATTATAGTCTCTTTTCCCAGAGATCTCCATTTTCATCAAAATGCAAAATAAAATAAAATAAAATAAATCCTCTGGAATTTTAATCCCTTAGGAACCACCCTAGGAAGACAAACAAACTCAAACAGTGGAGAACAAAGGAATATTTCAACAAGTCTTTAGCTTTGTTCAGTTCTTCTACTAATTGCCTTATGAAGCTGTGGCAAAATCTGTCTATTCTTTCTGTTGCTCTTGACCTGTTCCAGATCACTAGCACCATAGGAACTTGTGATGAGGTCTTTTATACACTGTTTTTCTGTAGAGATCAGGCTGGGCAGAGATGCTTTGCATTTCTCTTTTCACTGTATGTACTCTCCCCATCTTTGTGTTTTGGGGAAGGGGAGGAATAATAACTCCCTTTCTAAGACTGTTTACTGAAATTGTTGATACAATTTGATACACACATTGTTGATACACCATTCAAACCAATGGTGGAGATGTAAGGGGTTTGTATTTATCGTTACAAAATTTAACGATCTACAAATGATAAAATGTGATTTTCTCACCAGAGAGGAGATAGAGAAAAGATAAACACCGAAGCAAAATGGGAAAAAAATTGTTAAATTTAATGTGTGTGTGTGTGTGTGTGTATCCTTAAACCACTAATAAAATAACTGTTTACACACATATAAATAATTTACTTACCTTAATATTTGTTTGGATCTGTTATCTGATCCATGTGGGTACTCCCTCTAGCAGTAAAAATCACAATCTGTCCATGTCCTACCATCTTCCGTAATTCCTCTATAAATCCTTAAGAGGATATGCCCAATGTGCTGAAGACCCTCCTCTTGTTCTTTTAATGTTTCAGGGATACCAATAGGTGCTTAGTTTTATACATTTCTTGTACCACATTCTCAATACATGACTGATTCCCCTCCTTTTCTGTATTTTAATCCACTTGTATACAGTGACCCATGAAGACAACTACCTCATCGATTTTCACATTGTAAAACTTGCCCAATAAAGCTAGATCCAATTGTTGATGTTCAGTCTTTTTTCAGTTGTGATTCGTGACCCCATTTAAGATTTTCTTGGCAAAGATACTGGAGTGGTTGGCCATTTCCTTCTCCTGCTTATTTTCTGGATAAGGAAACTGAGGGAAACAGGATTAAGTGATTTGCCTAGGATCACATAGGTAGTGTCTAAGACTGGATTTGAACTCAGGAAGATGAATCTTCCTGATTCCAGGCCCTGCACTCCTATCTACTCTGCCACCTAGCTGCCCTAGATCCCTGTTAGTGTGAATAATAAATACCCTGAAATGGTCACATTATTTGAATTTGCACTACATATTTCCACTGGGCTGGAACCAGTAACCATATTTAACATGATTATAACTTGGAATAGTGCAAATTTGAATACATACCATAATTTCAGAGGGATTCTTTATTCACACTGTTTGTGATCTAGCTTTAATTTTAGTGTTCATCTTGCAGAGCAATCTTTAGTTGAAATAAATTATCTATCTCCTTTGTTCAAATCCTTGGTATCCTTTCTTTATTCTGTAGTCCTGCAAACAAAATACCAGAAAAGGACAATATTGGTTTTTTTCTTAAACTGCACTGGATACATTTATCCTCTCAGAGCATGGGGCAATACATGGTCTGTGTGCGTCCTTTAGCTTTATTTTTCAAATATTCCTACTCATCTATATAACTTTCAATTGAGAGAGAACCTCTGCACTTGATGAAGGCTTGACAAAAGCCAGAGTTTTGCATTTTAATTATCTTACTTGAGTTTATTTTGCTAGCTGTGTTCATAATATATAATTCTTAAACATATTTAATATTTCTTAATTCATTGCACTTACAAATAATGAGCAGATAGACCTAGAGGATCTGTGGACACTCTTCAGTGGACCTGAAGTCCTATGGAAGGTCTTCCATTGGATCCTGTCAGTTTCTCTTTCTCTTTGAAGACTTTTATGAATTAAGTTTTTCTGTGAATCCTTAAGGATTCTTTAACCTGCTACATTCCTCTTTCAAATTTGAGCTGTTTATGAGTCACCTGACCGCCATATTCCGATGGCAGATTCTTCTGTGAAATTATGCTTTGGATGTTGTTTAATGATGACATTAAGAGGGATGTGTAAAGGCCACACTTATGTTTCTGTATAAATAGAAACTAATTTGCATACCCATTTAGTCCTCTGTTAGATAACTAGAACACTTTTCTTTTATATAACTCAAGGTAGTTATTTTTTGAAACTTAAATATTTAACGTTATGACTTTTCTTTTAGAAACCCAAATGAATGCTAGATAGAATTTTTGTAGATGGATATTAAGATTTCCACTGAAGTTACTTTGGCAACCAATTGTACAATTATTCTAAATTATTAGTATTTGTCACTTGACAATTTTGTCACAGCATATTAACACTATGTACTTTTTTCACTGCAGCAAGGGAAATATACCTTGGTTATTCTTTTCTCCTCAGAAAGACTTCTGAAATCTACAATTCTTCCAGACAATGATTGAAAATATGTGCAAAATATTTCAATCTCATCCGAATGATCTTTCTGGTCATATTGATCGTTTAAGCTATTGTACTTTAAATGGCTGAATTTTTTTCGGACTTGCAATTATGAGTGCACCTTTTCTAAAATCTGTTTTTATTATTGTTACAATTATTCTTTTGGGCATCTATGCTATTCTACTCTTTATTTTTTTCAAGATTTTTTTTCTTCTTAAAACTTTAAACTTCCTTTTAAAATAAATTTGGGTTCTCTCTAGTGTTCTTTATTTCCAAAATAAACAATATAGTTGTTTTTCAAGTTTTCGATTAAATGTACACAACACTATATATTAAATGTACTCTACACATTGAATTTTATTAAGTCAGTAGTGGACATCACTAGTCACTATGAACATCCTTGTCCAACCCTTAATATTTGCACAGAAATTAAGCATTCAAATACCTAGGTAGAGACCTACTTATAGAAAACAGCACATTTAGTCCAACTTTTCTGAATCCAAGCACTTTATGACGTTCTTAGCCTAGGCCTACAACTTTAAGAATACTCCACTTTAGCCTTGAAAAGATTACTCTCAAACAATCATTCTCACTAAAGTCTTTATAGTCTGAAAAATCTACACTGACCTCACCTGTGTTGATTAATGTTCTTCCTTTCCTTTCCCTCTTCTAGTTATTTCCCTTCTCCTTTGTACTCCTTAGCTCATTAAATTGAGAGAATATATTCTATAACACTTATAGCCACAGTTTCTCCCAGAAGCACAGATAATCATGAAAATCTAACCAAAAGGGACCAGAAAGAAAGATAAGGTGGATTTTATTAAATTGATTTTAACCTCATTCTCTGGATCCCCCTCAGACCCTGAGCATGTGAGTCAGTACTTCTTATGGATATTTATCATCTCTCCCTCTTATCAAGCATTTTTTTGTTAATTTTTGATTGCAGTCCGTAGCCATTCATTTCACCCATGGATGCTCATGTCAGTATTTCAGCTGTGACTTCAGCTTTTCAGGGTTTCTAACCCTCTAAATTTGAATGCTTTTATTTGGCTTATTTCTCTTATGCCACTTTTAAGCCTTCCACTTAGGAAATATGCCTTGCACATGGTAGGTCCTCAATAAATGTTTAAAGAATCCACGAATAAAGAGAAGTTGTCTCAGTCCATTATAGTCAACTAGAATGATACAGGAAAAAATAATACCTCCTCAGAGCCTTTGTACTACTTGACTTTTTCAACTTTTGCTTCTTACATGAAAAAAAGAAAAATATATACTGCCATCCATAGTATTGTTTGTAATTGGCATATTTCAGATGAAAACATTTTCCAAAAACATACAATATGTTCTGAATTATATTATATTTTGGTGTTAATGACCACAAAAAAGTAAGAGAGTAAGAGCACATGTAAATCCAGAACCAAGAACCAGATGAGTTATTGTCAGAAAATGTGAAGGAAGACTCTTATTTAATTAAACTTGCAAACATGTCCAGAAATGGCAAAGTAATTGAAGATGAAACAAAAGTTCCACTTCTTTTATAATTAGTAGAAAATTTAAAGGATTCAATTCTAAGGGCCCCATTTTATAACAATAACTATGTTGGCTTTTTAAGCACCTTATCATAAAAGGAGAAAAAAGGATTTTTAGCTGTAGGTAATTCATTTAAGAAACATTTATTGAAGGCCTGAAATGTTCAAGGAACATTATGCTATATAGCATACGTGACTTACCATATGTATTCCTTTTTGTGAATTAACCTTATTTTAAATTTTGGTACTATCAGGTTGATCTACATTTCATGAAAAAGATTCCTCCTGGGGCAGAAGCTTCAAACATCTTAGTGGGTGAGCTAGAATTCTTGGACCGAACTGTAGTTGCATTTGTTAGATTGTCCCCAGCGGTACTGCTCACAGGACTGGCTGAGGTGCCAATTCCAACCAGGTAAAATTTCCCAAAAAGTTATTACTATTTTCTTCGTCTGTTTGTTAGGAGAGAAATAACCAGTTAGAACAGAACTTCATCTTAGTGGTGTCCTTTTGGATAAGTCCATTTTTTTAAAAAATGAGTATTGTTCATTTCCCCGTTTTGATCTAAGAAAAAGGAAGGCAAGATGTTTGAATATTTCGATGATTCTCACATGCAACATTCTCCTGAGTCTCTTGAATATCCTGCCAAATTACATTCTTTCATTTTCATGAACTCTCCTTTCAGGAGCTGCCACACACACATATGGCTCATGCCCATTTAGGTACACACCTAAATGTCTGAATCTCTAAGTGCCCTGGCTCACACTATGACAAACTCCAGAAATCCTTTGTTTGCTCCTGTGTAAGGAACATTTTTATTTTATTTTACAGATCAAATTGTATAACAAAAAAAATATCTCTTTGTGGGGATTTAGTCAGTATTTAATTTTACAAAACTTATGAAGATGAATCTACCATGGTTAGAACTCTAATATAGGTGTCACAGAGCACGAACCACTAAAATAGCCCTTGGGAAATGACATGAACGTCTTGGTTCATTCCCAAGCACAAATTAAGTGGAAATAAAGAGATCAAAGCTGTATCTATACAGATCAACATAATTACTCCAGAAGTAGGAGTTTTGGTTCAATTTCATCAGTTGACTTTATGCAATTGGAGCGTGATTGGGACCTTTTGAGTGGCATGGACTGAAATTTGAGAATTAAAAGTTTTCTTCATTTCAGACATTTATGACATAGGGAAGAAAAATCTGTATTTCATCATTATTCCAACTCTGCTCTTGGTACAACCTTACTCACTTCTATCTACTTCATCTCCCAACTCTAATGCTATCTCTCTCTCTACTCAGAGCCACATCCATAGCTTGAATGTCCAGAGTCCCGTTGTCTCAGAATGAGTAGTAATCAAATACTCTCTCTGATGATGGGTTAGCAAACTTGTATGTTACTTTGCCAGATAATAAAAAGCCACGATCCTGCCAGAGTATAGAAGATTTAAGACACTGTGTCAGGAAAATACAAAAGACCTTTCAGGTCAAAGGGCTGCCCTTTGGGCATGCCTCCATGTACACCCTATTGGCAGCAGCATCCTCTAACTAGGAGTTAAGATCATTCTTCAAAGATTGGAGAGAGAAGAGAGAGCTCTCTAATTGAGTGGAGTGGAATTGAATGGGCTTAATTTTTCCTTGGCTCATTTCTCTGCTGCTATCACTGGGCAAGTCTCTCTGGTTTATCTTGCAGTTTCAAGTAAATACTTGTATTGAAACTGTTTAAAAACCAATGGGGAGAATAAAGTTCTGATTCATTCCTTAAGTGTATGGGTAGGGCAGGTTGACCAAATCAAACTGGAACTTAAAATGTTTTATTAGGTCTAGTATTCATTTATAGACACTACCTGCATAACTTGTTCAGAGACTTGCAGGTAGTGTTGTTAGCTAGGATTCAGATTCAAGACCTCAGATTTCCCTTGCATCGATTAGATTGCATGATATTGGAATGAGAGTAGTTTATTTAGTTGGACACATAAAAATAATTTGGTCATCCAGGTGGTTAAGTGTATATACCCCTGTGGCTTAGAAAAATCTGATGAACTCTGTGTTAATGCCACTTGTTAAGATGATAGGGATGAGATGAATGTCAGAAGGAAATGAAATTTAAAAAGAGAGAAATTTTAAAGTCATAATATACACCAAGGTACATTCATAACCTCATGTTGAAAAATATCTTAGTTTTAAGTGACCTTACTTCAAACAGACAGTAAAAATGTGTAGAAAACAATGGGGAAAAAATTAGAAGCCCTATAGGCTTCCATATTAAGAAGAGAGGAAAAAAAGACTGTATCATTTAGTTAGGCAAGGTGGAAAATAATAGCAAATTTGTTAGAGGTATAGAGATAATGAATAGTACAAAGAAAGCCATTCAGGGTTCCTAATTATCTTTTTCTTGGTAGGGCAAAAGGCGCACTTTGAAAATAAGGCAACACACATTAAAAATGTCAGGAAATAGTTTCTTAGAACTACATAAATAACTTGTGGAATGAAGAACTGAAAAATATCATAAAGTGCATAGGTCAGTAAGTTTCTCAAAAGAATTCTATGGATAAAGTGCACATACACAAATTACTGCATAAAATTACTCTAGTAGTTTTTTTTTTTACCTATAATTACTTCTACACTTAAATTGGCTTAGAATTCTGTAACTTTACTTTGAAAGATGAGGAGGAGAATAGGGTGTATGGCATAATGGAAGGAGCCCTGGCTCTGAAATCCAAGGTCCTGGATGCAAATCCATCCCCTCACATTTACCTGTGACTTTGCACAAGACAAGATGCACAACCTCCCTCAGTCTGAGTTTCCTCATATGAAAAAGGAGGTTTGAACATGATAGACTCTGAGGTTACTTCCAGATTGAGAGCTATGATCCTATAGCTTCAGACTATATAATACATATATAGAATGAATAGCTTCCACATGTTCTTATATATTAACATGTAGAATTATGAGAACTATTTTAATTCAAGTTAAAAAGCTATCAGTCTTCATACTTAAATAACCTCAAATACAATAGGGTAGCAAGATATAGGGTAGTATTGAACTTGTACAATTTTATTTGAGGTATGAGATATTAACCTTATGAGAGATGGGGTAGTTCTATATCCTCTTCCTAACTGGAGGACACATGGAGTAGAGTGTATAAAGAGCTAATTGGAAACTCTACTTGAATTCAATAAAAGTAAATTAGTGAAAAGAACTGACCAGAATACAAAAGATTGGACTTTTAATACAATAGGAAAATTGGGTCAAAATTTGGGTTCATTCTCTTCTCCCTCTAGCCCACCCCCTAACTTGTCAAGAGAAACATTTTGGATCAGGAACTCTCCAATTTTTTTCTACCCAGAATGCATTTGGTATCTGACTATAATTTTTCCACTGAATCTGCATTTTACATGGGCCTCTCCATTTTTGAAACACAGATTTCTTCTTCTCATAAACTTCAATACTTTTCCAAGACCCCTCCCTTTCCCCCCTGACCATCCACTCTGTTTTGTAATAGAAGTCAGTTTTATTTCTTTCTTTCACAAAGGTTCATTCTTACTCTCTTGCCTTTTTACGCTGTAGTAGTTCTAGAGTATCTTCTGGTACTGAGGTCCCTGATATGAATTATATATGTTCCATAAGATAACTCAAAAACTAACCTTGTAGGAGGAAAAGAAAAAAAATATTAAAATCAGAAAGACCACGGGGGCCATAAATCATAACAATCCATTTTATGTTGCTCTTTTCTTTCCTGTCCTCTCTCTTCATCAAAAACTCACCAAAACAATGAAACTAAGAAAAAAAATACAATTTCTCACTTAAACTTTGAACTGTGAGAAAATGAATGATTCATGTTGATAGCCCTTTCATCAGTAATGCATTTGAGATGTGATTCTATAATACACAAAACAGAATTTGCTTTTCTGTCTAGTAACCTTTTTTTCTCCTATTCACAGATTTTTGTTTATCCTTCTGGGACCATTGGGAAAGGGTCAACAGTACCATGAGATTGGCAGATCAATTGCAACCCTAATGACAGATGAGGTATATATTTAGCCCATTCGGGTAATTTTCGTTCTTGTTGTTTCCTTGGACTATGTCACAACCTAGACCCCCAACTCCCAGAGATAAGTATACCTTGCTTGCCTCACTTTATGGAATATATGTGTTCTTGCAAAGTTGGAAAGGTATCAAATTTCCATATATCAAGTTACATTTTTCCACAGATCTTCTATAAGAATTTCCCAAGAATAAAGTGTTATCTTTCTATAAGAATTTTGAAATTTATTTTTAGGAATATGTCAATCTCTTACATAAAGAATATTAAATCCTATATATAAATCACATATATAAAGAATAACAACTTTGTTAATAATAATTTAAGTTATATGACATATTATTATCAAAATAGCATAAAACAACAGTGGTGGCTTAATTGTATGAAACATGTAGCAACCAAAAAAGTCACTGCTTCTACCAACCTGCCCTCCCTAAAAGAGAGTAGGATAAGAATGGAATACTAACACAGTAGTCTAACATATAACTTTGCATGCTTGCTTAGGCTATATTTTGGAAAACTTTGTAGTAATGAATAGGTTACTTTAGGTTGACAGGAAGAGGATTGTATGCCAAAAAAAATAGATGAGGTAAACATCCATAGCAAATGAACAAATTGGGAAGTGTTGTTTTTGGAAATATACACCAATAAGTGGACAATGGAGAAACATAGTCACTGGAATTTATGACTGATGAAACTTGAAGATTTTATACAGAAGGTCATACAACATTGCATATTGAATCAGTTCCTTGCTTTTTAAGTTCGAATTTCTAGATACGAGGTTCCACTATAATGACATATCATCCTATGTAAGAACTATGATACTTTTAAAATTTGTATTATATGGTTGTCTGTGGTTATTTTTGTAAGTATATATGCGTGTATATGAATTCATTATAATAACTAATTTAAGATCTCTATATGACCTTAAAATAGTGTGCTTCAGACAACTGCTTTTTCAAATGGAACTGATTTATTGACTATGTCCCTATTATCTCCTGAATCATGTCAGAAGTTTGGGATAATGTTGTGGGGGAGGAGGGTTGAGAGTCAAACAGGTGCCCCTCTCTGGGAAGTGTGAAGGACTTGCTGCTATCTGGAGCAACTAATGAGTAAAGCATTTGATGGTACAAATATTTCCATACTCCATATTTAGGAGTAGCAGGGAGTAGGAAGGAAGCTGGTGTATGTATAAGTGTTGTGGGAGGCAGTGATCAACTATGATTAGGAGTATAGAATGAGCAATAGAAAGGATACATTTTAGTATATACAGGGAAGTTCTTACCCTGGAGTCCATGAACTTTAGAGAGATAGATAGATAGATGATAGATCGATAGATATAGATAGATATAGATATAGATAGATACATACATACATATCTATATATATACACACACATACATATATACACATACATACCTATATATGCACATATATACATATACATGTGTGTATATATGTATGTATGTGTATATATAAGTATGTATGTATGTTAAAAATTGTATCAAATATAATTAATTTCCTTTGAAATATGATGTATTTTGTTTCATGCATTTAAAAACATTATTCTGCAAAAGGTTCCACAGGCTTCACCAGATGCCAAATAGATCCATGCTATAAAAATAGTTTAAGAAAACCCAATATAAAAAGACTGTTGGGTCAAAGTAGGAGAAGAGTGACTATTAGGAAACACAGTAAGAGACTGGGAGGAAGCACTGGCCTCGATGCCTAAGGTCTTGACCTCAGGCATCCTCCTTGGTGTATTCACTGATGTTTCTTGTATGTTCCTGTGCTGATCAAATAGCCACTGCAAAACTCACCCATGGCGTGTGTGCATCAGAGTAGCATTCAGAGGTAAAGCTGTGCTATCAGTTCTAGACTCGTGGTGCCTATGAGAAATTGCAGAAGTTGACTTTATTCTTTCTCATCTATAAAGCAGAATGTAATCATGTGCAAGGATAGAACTAGGTAATAGTCACATGAGCTAGCTGACACAAGCCTGAAGATGTCTTAGGCAGGGAAAAGAGTTCTTTGGGACTAGGCCTATGCCCATTCCAAAAAATGATTTTGATTCATCTGTTCAGTCAGGTAAATGATGAAGATGCAAGAAAATTTTATAGTTCAGTGTAGATTTAGAGGAAAGGTAAAGAGGGAGTTGTTAATAATTTTCCAAACTGTGTGAAAACAACCTAATGTGAGGAACACCAACAGTGCCATTCGACTAATGGACAACTAAAGGCAAAAGGGCTGTAAAATGGGAGTGATAGTAGGGGCAATCTGCTGAAGAAAATGGGAGGGGATGGGGTGAAGGGCGCACGCAGAGGGCTTCGTCTTGCCTGCAACATTTGGATTGTAAAGCAATACAGAATAATTCTGGAAAAGTAGCTTGGAACCACATTCCCGAGGTTCTTAAATGAGAAGCTGAGGAATTTGTATTTTATTCTAGAGGCAATAGAGGGGGTGTTGGATTTTATTTTAAACAGAGGAATGATATGATCAGACCTATGACTTAAGAAAATTATCTTGACATCCATGTGGATTTGAAGGAGAGAAAAACTGGAAGCAGGAAGAGTAATAAAGAAATAGTGAAAATCATGTAAGCATAACTTAATGAGGGTCTATGTGAGACTGGTGGCCATTAATACATAGATAAATATATAGATAGATAACATATAAACATATAGATATAAAATATAGTATATAAATATTTATAACTATATAGATAGATTTTTCACATCCACATATGCAAAGACTGAAGCAGTTTTTGATATCTCCCTCTGAATTATCTTCCTCCTATAATGCGTATCCACAAAGAAATAATCACCCATCCTTTAAGAATACCTCCTATAACATACTACATCAAAAGACTTCAATTTTATTAATTCAAAATACAAATAACCCCCATAATGCTTTTATTTAATCAGGTATATGCTGCCCATTGGTTTTTAATTAAAAAAAATAGAGTATCTAGTGAGTAGAGAAAAGGGGCAAATATAAGAAATGGTTTAGAGATGGATGCAACAGGATTGCATCCATAACCTTATTGGATAAAGGCATGAGGAGAGTGAAAACTCAAAAATGAATCTGAAGTTATGAATCTTTAATGACTAGAAAGATAATATCACTCTCAAAGAAATAGGGAAGTTTGGCAGAGGGAAGGATTTAGAGGGAAGAAACAAGGGATTTTTCTTTATTTTTGTTTTTTGAAATATGTTGAGTTTGAAATGCCAACAGGATATCCAGGTAGAGGTGCCCAGTATGGAGTTCATGATGAGGACCTGAAGTTCAGAAGAGAAATGAGAATGAAAGAGAAGGGACACCCAGAATTAAAATGGAGGAGTTTCATGATGCTCTAACAAAGGAGTTTAAGAGGGATCTAGTAGTTTTACATAACTAGTCTAGTTGTCACCTAATTGGCACAATGGATAAAACATTGAACCAAGAGTCAGGAATTCAAATTTCTGTATAACCCTGAGCAAATCACTTAGTCTCTCTCTGCCTCAGTTTCCTCATCTGTAAAATGGGCATAATAACAGTACCTACCTTTCAGTGTTGTTATGGGGATAAAATGAGACAAAGCATTTATCAAATTTTAAAGCACTATTTAAATGCTAGCTATTATTATCATCATCATTATTGAAATAATAAGACTTTAGATGAGTATCAGAGAGCTCGATTAAATGGTCTGAGGGGTAATAGGTAAAGAGTTCTTAGGAAGTGTAGTTTATCCAAATTGTTCTGAAGTATATAATATACTTATATATTTAAGAACCAGTTATAAAATATTGTTGAGAATAACTAACTTTGCCATTACTAAGAAAACAGTGGTATATTATGCTTTAAGATTCTCTCCCAGCTCTTTCTGAATGTCAGAATACTAAGGTGACAACCACAAATACCTAAGTGCCATCTAGTGGCAGATTTCATAAACTGAAAATTCCTGAGTTGGTGGAGTACCAGATTTCGCATTAATATTGTTCTTTTTTAGTTTGGACCTCTCAGTTGTTTAGATTTCTTTTTTTATAGTTTAGGTTCCTTATGTTTTGTGTGCTTTTACAACATATGTGATAGGTTTTCCTCACAACCCTGTGCAAGTATTTTACAGATCAAGAAACCAAGGCACAGAGAGGTTAAATGGCCTATGGTCACATAGCTAATAAGTGTTAAGAGACTAGATTTGTACCAAGGTCTCTTTCCATAGTATCACTGTGCCTCATTATACTTTTCTAACATGCCAAAGCTCAGATAGCTAGTAAGTGGCAGAGTCTCTAAAATTCAAACCCAGATCTTCTGACTCCAAGTCCAGTGCTCTTTCCACAAACAGGCCAAACTTGTAAATGTAAATAAATAAATAGATAACAATATACACAGTCAAAAATGCAAAAGACTGAAATAATTTTAACACCTCCCTCTGAATTATCTTATGGCCCTATAATGTATATTCATGAAGAAATAGTCACCAATCCTTTAAAAAATACCTTCCATAACATGCTACATCAAAAGAGTGCAGTCTCATCAGTTCAACATGCAAAGAAGCCCCATAAGGCTTTTATTTAACCAGGTTAGTGTTACCCTTTGCTTTTTTATTAAACAACAGAATATCTTGACAGATGGGAGAAAGGAACTATTTTTAAAATTTTCAGGATAACTAAATTATAGCAATGTAATGAAAGCTTGTTGCAAATGACCTATCAACTTTGGCCATGCACAAAGCTTCAACGCAAAAAAAAAATCAGTGATTTCATCCATGTGGGTATTCCTTCTACCAATATAGATTATTACCTCCAAGCCTTAGTGTATGGTTTCATGACTTGATGGCCCACCAAAACCTCACCACCTGGTGACTAACTTTCTGATAATGACCCTCTTATACCTTGACTGCAATGGGCTAATAAACATATAATGCATCGCTGGGCCCAAGCTTGAAGATTTTACAGCTTTCTAGGACATGCAAGAGCATATGTCCTACTAACATAACTTTTAGTAA